TTTACAGCATCCGCAGTTCTTTTGGTTTTGATCTCAAAATCAAGCGGCACCAGTAAAGTGGTTACACTTTTTAACTGCACACTGCTGTTTCCGGTACTGTGCCTGTGCTACCAATTAAAGAAGAGCCTTACTTTGAGTTAGCTCCAGTAACAGATATTATCTGTTTGAATTATTATTTATTAATGACTGTTTTTTTGTTGTTTACATAGGGTGTGGGCAAAAACAAAATCGTTGACCATTTTCTGCATCTATTGAATAGACCCAGGGAATATTTACAGCTTCACAGGTAAATAGTGATCAAACAGTGAAATTATAAGTAGCTGGATAAACCTAATTTTGCTGATAATCCAACAATTGTTGACACTTGCCGTGGTATAGTAGCTCTCTTCCTCTAGCTGGGGGGTCTTACCATCAGAAATCATTTATGTGATGTAAGACCCCACAACTCAATTTCACCCTTTTTACTCCTGCCCTCGGTTTTCACCCTCTTCCTCTTGCCCTCAGTTTATCTTCTACCCCCTCCTACCTCTGTTTTCCTCTTCCTGACTCCACAGTTTTCCCTCTTTTATACTCTCCCATCATCACACTTAGGTTTTCCCTCCATGTTTGTGATCAGGCACCACCCCCAACTCCCCCTAACTCTTTTCCTTCCTGCACCCTCATTTAATATGCATCGTCACTCCTCATTCTTCCCACCAATGTGTATCATCTCGCATTTCCTTGCCTTCACCTACCCTCTCCTGTGAGGACAAACAATGCATGCTGAATGGTACTGTTTTAATGTGCGTCAGTCTTTGAACATAATAGGAAAGGTTAACAAAACACTTAATAAAATATATGGAATTCTGGAATTTATAAATAGATTCACGGCATGCAAGAGCCAGGGGGGTACGTTAGTTTCCTTGTCCACTCGAAGTTAATTACTATCTTCTTCACTGTTCACTGCACTTTAATTTCAGATCATTGTACATTTTGAAGTTATAACGTGTACATTCAAGTTATCAAAGTATATCAAAACAGTGTGGCATAATACGGAACCTCGGGTAAAGCTATAGTGTACCTCCCTCCAGTTCAAAAAACAATCATTTGCAGAATCTCTCTGTTTCCTTTCCCTGAGTTGAATTTGATTCTGTGATGCTGTTGCCACTTGCATCCCAAGGGTTTCAGTTTTGCTAACTAGCTTAACATGTGGCACTTTATCAAGCACCTTGTGACACCACAACAGCTGTTGGTACACAGCTACAATTAGTGATCCTCAATCTACTCGAAATCCAACAGTAACATTCACAGACATCACATGGTCGAACCATCACATCAAAATGCCTGCAGCCAAAGTTGGCAATAGCAATTTTTACTTCAAATTTATCTTTAACAAGTTCAAGTGAAATTCAGTCTGAATCCCTGGCTCTGCTTAAAGCTCAGTAGTCCAAATCATTGGCCAGTAATGTTACAAAGACTGTTTTCTTGATGTGTAAGAATACAATATGTCAGTTCACTTCTGGCATTCTGCACAAAGTGTGAATATCACTGCACATTTTAGTTTTATCATGAGATTTTAAAATATTTTTAAAGATCATTGTTGGAAAAGCCTTTAATTCTGCAGTGTTTAGATTATGTAATGATATGTTTAGATTAGTATATTTTTAAGCCATACTATCCATGAAGCAAAACCTTTGGGCATATTCAAGGTTGAACGAAACATTTCAGTAACATGTGAAAGTGGGGCATTTACAGTGCAGCTGTAATTCTAAAAATATTCAAAGTTATTATTGGCATTCGCAGTGAAGCTGTTGTTAAAAACCTTCCTGCTTTTTGACTGGCTTGCCTTTCTCCCAGAGACTGAAGAAGTGCAAGGCTGGACGGGAGAAAACTACTAAAAAAAGACTGCACAGCAGATCCCTGTTTTCAGAATGGTGAAGTTAGGGAAAATGCATTTATGTAGTGCCTTTCATCATCTCGGGTTGTCATAAAACACTTGGCAACCAGGTATAATCATAAGAACAACGGATAGGCCATTTATCCCCTCAAGCCTGTTCTGCTATTTAGTGACCATGATTCCATATACCTACCTTTGCCCCATATCCATTAATATCTTCAATTAATAAAAAAATCTCAGATTTCAAGTTTACAATTATTAAACTTGTTCCCAACATCAAATGTAGCTTGTGTACTCAAAGAAGCTGTCAGCAGTTTCTTCTTATGGGGGAGTCTGGGACCAGCAGACACAGTCTCAGAATAAAGGGGCACCAGTTTAAGATTGAGATGAGGTGAAATTTCACCTCTCCAAGGACTGAGAGTCTTCAGAACTCCTTGTCGCAGAGAGCTGTGGGGGCAGAGTCCTTGTGCATTTTTAGGGGTGAGATAGATTGATTCCCTTACTGATCAAGAATCTAGGATTATGGGGAAAAGACAGGAAAGTGGTTATGAGGAATGTTGAATCAGCCATGATTGTATTGAATGGTGGAGCATAATTGAGGAGCTGAATTGTATTGAGACTTGCTACCTTCATCTCCTCAATGAATGACCATGTGGTGATGTCTGGCACAAATAAAAATCCTCTTAAGAGTGTCTGCCGAGTTGTTAAGAAACCTGTTCTAGTAGATCTGTTTTTGCCTGACATAAAATGGGTCTATATCCCAAAAGGATCACAACCCAACTTATCTAAGTCCAGAGGTTGAAGCGCTGAAGGTAGTGGATCTCCAAGTGTGCACAAGGGTACTTTCACAGTTTTAACAAGTGAAATCCCTGTAGTTTCCTGGCAGCTTGATATGCCAGCAGTACCCTATACATCAAGTCATTGATTTTCTGAGAGTTTACCCACTATTATCGTATCGTTTTGTCAATTGTTTTTTTAAAATGTGTTGTTTTATTTTATTTCAGGGACACCACAGTGCAGAGTCTCACTCTCCAACCATCTGTACAACAGGGAATTATCACGTATGAAGATTCTCCTCTGGTCAGTTTTAATGTTTTAATATTTTAATGTTTATATCACAAGCTAACTATACATATTCATACGTGTACGCTTCCTGAATGGGAAAAGATCTGGCAGATATAGTATAATATCTGGGAAAAAAGCAAAAGACGGTATCGCTTACACAGAGAATGACTGCAGAATTCCGAGTTGCAGAGGGATTTAGGTGTCCTGGTGCATGAGTCGCAAAAACCTGGTACAGCACTTAATTAAGAAGGTGAATAAGATGCTATCCATTATGACAAGAGTAATTGAACAGTAAAATAAGCATTTTATGCATCGGTTATACAGGGCATTGATGAAGACTGTATCTCAAATACTGTGTTCAGTTTTGGTTCTCCCTATTTAAGAAAGTACGTAAATGTATTAGATGTGGTTCAGAGGAGGTTTACTAGATTGTTACCTAGAATGAGTCATTGTCTGAGGAAAGCTTGGACAGGCTAAGCTTGAGTCTTCTGGAGTTCATAAAAATGAGAGTAACTTGATTGAAATGTCTAAGATCTTTAATTCTCTCGACAGAATGGATGTGGAAAGGGTGTTTTCTCTGTGGGTGTGTCCAGAACGAGGGCTACTATTTTAAATTTAGGGGCTAGCTTTTTAGGACAGAGATGAGAATATTTTTTCCTCTCAAAAGGTTATGCAGCTTTAGAACTGTTTGCCTAGGAAAAAGATGGAGGTTTCATAGAATCCCTACAGTTTGGGAAGAGGTTATTCAGCCCGTCGAATCTGCACTGAATCTCCGAAGATCATCCCACCCAGACCCAGTCACTCACCCTATCTCTGTAACCCTGCATTTTTACCATGGCTAATCCACCCAACCTGTACATCTCGAGACACACCAGGCAATTTAGCATGGTCAATCCACCTAACCTGTGCATCTTTGGACTGTGGGAGGAAACCGGAGCACCCAGAGGAAGCCCATGCAGGGAGAACATGCAAACTCCACACACAGCCACCCAAGGCTGGAATTGAACCCGGGTCCCTAGAGCTGTGAGGCAACAGTGCTAACCACTGAGCCACTGTGCTGCCCAAGGTGGTGTAATTGATTATATTTAAGACAGAGGTAGACAATTTCTTGTCAAGCAGGACAAGGGTTACCGAGGGTAAATAGGAATGTAGAATTCGGAACAGACACAGATCAGTAATGATCTTTTTGAACAGTGGACCAGAGTTGAGGGGCCAAGTGGCTTTCTTCTACTTCTATTTCATGTGTTTATGTATCAAGAAATCTATGGGTCTATGTTGTGAGTATATACAATGACTAAAGTTCCACAGCCCTCTAGTGTAGAGAATTTTACAGATTCACCACCCTGTGTGTGAGGAAAGTCATCCTTAATTGAGTCTTAAATGATCTGCCCTTTATTCTGAGTCCTCTGGTCCTGTGCAGTTGAAAGAGTTATTGTTGATGGTTGAATGATTCAAATTTGAGATGTACCAGAGACCAGGACTGGAAGAATACAGATATCCTGGAGGGTTGTCGTGCTGGAAAAGGCCGCAGAGATTTGGAGGAATCTGGCTGATCTACGGACCCGGGTTCAATTCTAGCCTTGGGTGACTAGCACTCGCTCATGGCTCAGTGATATTGCTGATAAGGATTTCTTAGTTATAATTGGCTCTAAGTGCTTACCTCTGAGTTAAAAGGTTCTAGGTTCAAGTCCCACTCCAGGACATACAAAATCAAGGCTGACACTCTACTGCGTGGGTACTACCTACTCTGGGCCTCATGTGCCTTGGACACCCTGTAGTACTGAGTTTCAAGACTGAGATTAATAGATTTTCACTGGTGAGAGAATTTGAGGGGAAAGTGTAATGTGGAGGTGAGGTGGAGTTTGGCCAAGATTTAATTGAATAGTGAAACCAGCTTGAGGAGCGAAATCACTTTCTCCTGGTCTTACACTCAGAAAGGAAGAGAAAAAGTTGCTCGGTTATAAGGCTGTGAAGAAAGATTATTTTTATTTCATAATCCTCTGTGACTGAAAAGTGGACTATTATGGAACAGTGGCAGTGTCCCTAACTCTAACTGTTACAAAGAAGAGCAGAGGAGTTCTCCCTAGTGTTCTGACCAATGTTGATCCTTGAACAAAAGTCCCAAAGGCAGATTATCTGCTCATCATCGCATTGCTGTTCTTGGGAAGTTGCCATGTGCAATTTAGCTGCTACGTTTCCTATGTTGCACCAGTAATTACAATTCAAAAATACTCCAATAGATGCAAAACACATTGAAAAAAATGTTCATAAAAGGTGCTTTTTAATTGCAAACAACTGTTTGAACTTTTTGGGATCAGAACTGAAGATGTTTTAAAGTTAGGTTGTGAGCTATACTGGAGATTTATCAAAATGAAACTGGTCTTTTGGTCAGTGTTGGAACACATAACTAAGTCAATACAAAATGTTTACTTTGGACCGCATAAGATTGGAGCTACTGGACGTGTATAACAGCACATCCAGAATCAGTAATGTTCATGAGCCTGACAAAAATGTCTGATGGAATAGGATTGAAGACACTGGCGAGATGAAAATGTTTCTCTTGTCCTGTCAAATCCTTGTCTTCACTTGTAAACCACAAGTAATCAGATTTGTCTATTATTTGTTTTAAGGATATGAGCATCACTGGCCTGCTCGAATTTATCGCCAATCTCAAAAAATCCTTGTTATTTTTAGCAAGAATGAGACTTTACATCCTCACTGTTTGCAGAGATGTGAAATTATATGCCTTCAGACACTTTTTAAGTTGGTTCTGGTGCACAAATGAAGCAATTTAAAAGCTGTCCCTTGCTGCAAACCCCCACAGCCCAGCCCTTAACAATGAACTAAGATGTTGCTCTTTTCCTTCTTCAGACATAAAACTGCACCCCTGCAACCAAGGAATGTGGGTCAGCTAAGTACAGTATCAAGTATCTTGACATAAAATTTTGGAATAATGGAAAATGAACAGGGTAGTTGGAGCAATTAGCTTGTTTTGGTTTTGTTTTAAAAAGCTTGCACCCATGTAGCGGGTTGAATGGTCTTCTTCATACTTTATGATTGGCTGACAGAAACTAGGATTTAAAGTGACCAATGTTCTTCCCCAGCCCCTTTCATTATGTAACCACTTATTAGCATCCAAATTGAGTTTCTTTAATTGCTCACAGGATGTGGGCATTACTAATTGGGCCAGCGACCGTGAAGGAATGATGATATAGTTCCAAGACAGAACAATGTGCGGCTTGGAGGGGATGTTGAAGGTGGGGTGTTGCTAAGTATCTGCTGCACTTGTCCTTACAGGAAATAAAAGTCAACATTAATTTGAAGGAGCTTTGTTGAGTTGCTGCGGTGCATATTGTATATAGTCCACACTGCTGCTACTTTCCATTGGTTTTGGAGGGAGTGAATGTTTAAGGTGTTGGCTTGGGTGCCTGTCAAGTGAGCTGCTTTGACCTGAGGAATGTCAGACTTCTTGGGTGTGATAGAGGAGCCAAATCCATTCCAGGCAAGTGCAGACTATTCCACTATACTACTAACTTCTGCCTTGGTGGATATTGGACAGGCCATGGGAAGACAGAAAGTGAAGTCCCAGCCTCTGACCTGCTCTTGTAACTGCTGTATTGTATAGCTAATGCAATTTAGTTTCTGGTCAGTGGTGACTGCAGGGTGATTCAGTGATGAGAATGCCATTGAATCTCAAAGCGATATGATTAGATTCTCTCGATGGAGATGGAGATTGGGCATTCAATATAGAAGGCATACTTTGCAAACATTTTTTATTACCAGCCCCTTACAGGAAACACCTTCTTATCCTTCTCTTTGAGGGCATAAGTTGCCTTGACCAAACAGCTTATTTATATGGGCACAGGGGAGGGCCCACACGCATCTATGGTTCCCAGTTCTGCTCTCCCAATAAGTGGAAACATCTACTCTCCATTGGCCCTATTGAACATGTTCCTACACTTAATGAAACATTTATCAGGCCATCTACAATCTTTTTTTTCCTGGAGAAAAAAACCTTCAGCCTGTATGGTCTTTTCTGATAATTTTCACCTCAGATCTGATCTCATTCTTGTAAATTATCTTTGCGTCTTCTCCAATGTATCTGTTAATGCAGCAAAATGATTTTCCTTGTTGAGACATTCTCTGTGAATGGAGCTTTATTAAAGAGAGAAATGGCTTGTTTCCTCCATTCTCAGGTCAAGGCTGTTAAATTGGGACATATCCTGGTCATTGACGAGGCTGACAAGGCACCAACCAATGTCACCTGTATTTTGAAAACATTGGTGGAAAGTGGTGAAATGATCCTCTCTGATGGAAGGCGCATTGTTGTTGGCAAGTATCAGAGCTTTGTTGTAAATGGGTATATACAAAAACAATGAATTTTGAATAATTGAAAACGTCCACATGTATATATTTTATTAATTCAGTTTAAACTAAGTTTATGTTCTTCAGTGTAGCCCTTTTCTCTAAATCTCGCCCTGGTCTGCGGACTTAATTGTTTGGCAACTTGTCCTTTGTGCATCCCATTTTGTCTTGCTCCTCATCTGGGGTAGTGTGCTACATGTCTTGCACAATGGAAGATGATTGTGGTTGTTGGTCATCAATCATCTCAGCTCCAGGATATTTCGGCAGGATTTCCCTGAATAATGTTCTAGGCCCAAGCCAACTTCAATTATTTCATGACATCCCCCAACTCCCACCATTAGGGATCGTCGCCGAAGACTGCATAACGTTCAGCACCGCTCGCAATTTGAAAGTTCCCATGTTGAGTCTTCTCACTGTATCCTCCCCCAACCATGGCACCCACCCCTAATGGTGAAAACGTGGCTGTAGATTTCCCATACATACACAGAAAATGCTGTTCTGTTCAGTTCTGAAGAAGAGTCATACTAGACTTGAAATGTTAACCTCATTTTTCTTTCTCCACAGGTTCTGCTGGACCTGCTGAGTTTCTCTAGTGATCTTTCTTTGTTTCAGCTTTCCAGGAACTGCGTTTTTTTAATCTTTATCCAATCTTCTCACGTTTTCAAATTACTCCGTGGTCTCAGCCATCCCTATAACTTCCTATTCTACAACCCCTTTTGATCACCATGCTGCACAAATTCTGGTCAATTTGGGCATCCGCAGCTTTAATTCCATCACCATTAGTGACTATGTCTTCAGCTGTTTGAATAGTAACATCTCCATGTCCTGACCTAAACCTCTCCACCTCACTTCATCACTTTCCTTCTTTAAAATGCTCGGTAGGTACAAGAGACTTTGCTGAAGCATAAACAGTTGACCCGTGAGGAAAGGTAGCCTGTTTCTCTACTCTGATTGCTGTGAGATTCTATAAGTACGGATGAGACTGGCTTAAGGGTCCCACCCCAGGCTGACATTCCTGGAAGATATTGTGCCACTGGTGTAAGCTCAGCAACTTTCCTTTATTCACAGACTGCCCCCGCCACATTGTCAACTCAATAATTCTTGACCCAGGAAATACCAATAGTTAGGAATGAGTGGGGAGCTGGCTACTTCCTTGATTTACCCAGGTCAAAACCACAACAGAAAGACCAGATCTTTCTTACTGTGCAGTTTCACTTAATAATGTCCATTTAAAGACAGCAGTAAATTAGATTCTGTGTGACTGGTAGAAGTTCTACTCATTATGCAATACACTGTACTGAGTAATGTGACAGATTACATGCTGATATTTCAGATCCCACCAGTGCAGAGGGACGACCTGATGCAATAGTTGTTCATCCAGATTTCCGAATGATTGTGCTGGCTAACAGGCCAGGCTTTCCCTTTTTGGGTAATGATTTCTTTGGTGCTCTGGGTAAGTTCTTTCATTATGAATGATGCAGCCATTTTCATTTAGAATTGTTTTGGTATATGTGATTGCACCGAAACAACTAGGTTGGAACTGTCGTTTTTATCTTTTATCAAGGTAGAAAATTCAGGTATAAATATAAGTTCTTGAAACAGCCTTTTGAGTCCATTTGTTTAACTTGCAAGGCAGAAACCTATTTCATGATAGCTTGAAGTGGTCCCCTTTACAAATGCCATCAGAGTGCAAAGTGTGAAATTGCTTTTTTTGATGATACTATCCCAGCATTAACCAATTCCATTCGGAAAGGTACTGCTGAATTTGCCTTTTCTGGTAATGCATTCCAGATCATCATAACTTGCTGCTCAAATATATTTCACCTCATCACTGCAGTGATTCTTTTGTCAGTTATGTTTAATCTTGCTATCGATCCTCCCTCCAGTAAAAGCAGTATATTTATTTCTTCTCCATCAAAACCTTTCATAATTCTGAACTGGCTTGTTAAATCATCATTTTAAACGTTTCTTTTATAAGTAGGTCAATTCCAACTGCCTTGATACATTATACAACTGAATTCCTTCATCTCTGGAATCAATCTGGTAAATCTCCTATGCACCCATTCTAAGGAGTTGACATCTAATACCGATCCTTGGGACACTAGTGTATACGTCCATCCAGTCTGATAAACAACCGCACAATACTGCTCTCTGCTTTCTGTCATTAGCAAATTCTGTATTTAAACAATGATTGCCTCTTCACTCTCATTGTTTCGGTTCGACTAACAAATACATGTAGAATTTTATTAAATGCCTATTCACAGTCAATACAGACATACTAGTCTTACAGCCTTTAACAAATTTGATTTGTTTGGCATTTTTAATTGATATATTTTGCAAGTGACAATCTATTTATCACAGATCATACTTCCCTGTTCTGGCTGTCTGGCTAGGCTTACCAAGTTTATTCTGCTCCAGTTTTTTTTTAGCATTTACAAGCACTTCAGCCCTCTACCAGCATTCCTTTATCTGAGTACAGTTAAAATATTATGGCTAGAGCATCTACTATTTTCACTCTCCTCTCAGTATCTTAGGAATCATCAAGCAAGTTTTTAGTTTCTTTCCCAGCAGGCCAATTTCAGGACAGAGGAATGGCATAGGGCGGCACGGCGGCTCAGTGGTTAGCACTGCTGCCTCATAGCACCAGGCACCTGGGTTCAATTCCACTGTCCTTTCTCCCTGTGTCTACGTGGGTTTCCTCCGGGTGCTCCAGTTTCCTCCCAAAGTCCAAAGATGTGCAGGCTAGGTGGCTTGGCTGTGCTAAATTGCCCATAGTGTTCATGCAAGTAATAGAGATAGTTTGGAGGAGGGTGGTATTTCTGAATGGGATGCTCTTCGGAGGGTCGGTGTGCTTTCGATGGACCGAATGGCCTGCTTTCACACTAGGCATTCTCTGATTCATATTCAGATCAGGTCACATAAAGAGTAATGAGAGCTGCAAAAAGGAACAACTAAAGATTCTGAGAGATATGAAAGACGTCCTGCAGTTTTTATATTTGGATGAAAAAGCATGGCTAAGGTTAATGTGTCTCTCTGAAAGATAGACACAATGATATTGTAATTTAAATAAGGTGCTAACAGACTTACTAAAATCATAATTAATTTGGAAAACCATCACATATGTGCCACGCTGAGTACATTGGTTCCAGGGGTGAGAGAGAAGAAGTTGGGTAAACTAGTATATCTTGTGTTTTGATGAATGGGAAATGATCTCATTGAAACTACAAGTTTCTGAGAGGGTTTGGCAGAACATCGCTGAGAGGCTGTTTTACCAGGTTAGAGAGTCTAGTATTAAGGGAGATCATCTCAGACAATTGGAGTGGACCAATTAGGACTGAAATGAGAAATGTCTTCATTGAACGTTGTGAATCTTTGGAATTCTTTACTTCAGGGAGTTAGTTGTTGCATAAGTTCAAGATAGTGATCAATAGTTCTACACTCTGAGAGAATGAAGGGGTGTAAGGATCTGATAGGAGAGTGAACTTAAGACTAAAGCTGAGCCATGATCTAATTATGTGTTGCATTGGGCACCCAGGCGTGCATGGCCTACTCTTTTGATTTCTATGAATGCACTTCTTTGCTGTAAAATAGTGCAACAAGTTTGAGTTCCTGACAGGTGTCTGTTAGCTCCTGCTGGAAATTTGAATATTCAGTCATTAGATGATGAGTCAAATGAGCTCAACTGTGATGTCCTCTAATAGAATAGTCACGATCTAGGTAACTGGATAAAGGGTAGCTTCTGCTCCAGGGCATGTTAGGTTTTAGCCAAGAATTCAGTCAGTTCTTTCAGGAGATGAAGGAGAAAAATAAAGAATGAATGAAAAGAAGATAGAGGATAAGATTAAAAAAACAGAGTACTGCAGATGCTGGAACTCAAAAATAAAAACATAAAATGCTGGAAGAACTTGGCAAATCTGGTATCATCTGTGCAGGGAGAGAAACAGAGTTAATATTTCCAGTCCTTCATTCAAACTGGAAAAAGTTAGAAGTGGAATACCTTTTCAGCAAGGGTTGGGTAGCACAATGACAAAAGGAAGGACTGTGATTGAATGAGTTAGTCCTCCAGGGACAAAGGGAATGGTAATAGGGCAAGAACAGAAATAGAGAAACAAATGACAAATCAAGAGCAAGTGCTGCTGACTGTAAGAGGAACAGAAAAACATATGTACTATAAAATTCTATGATTTTAAATGCAAAAAAAGAAAACCAAATGAGCACCTCTACATTGGGGAGACCAAACACAGACTGTGTGACCACTTTGCAGAACAGCTCCATCCTGTCAGAGACCTGAAACATTAACTCTGTTTCCCTTCCCACACTGCTGCAGCCTGACCTGTTGAACTTTTTAAGCATTTTCTGTTTTTATCAGAGCAGACAACATAATATTTTGCTTATTGTATTAGTCTTCAGAGTACAGGAAAAGGATGAAGTACCTTTTCATGATATGAGGAAAACTAGTAATATTATGAGTTTGAAGCTTATGTATTTAACAGAACTAAATAAAAATGGTAATGGAGCAGCAATGAGACTGTAGATTGACAACTACCCAGGATCTGATGGTTTCTGCTCCAGGGTCTTAAAAGAAAAGCAGAGGATATCATTCATATTCCAAATCTGTGTTGGTTCATGAATTGTACATACGGGAGTAGGACCAAGCTACTGATCCCTTGAGCCTGCTGCATGATATGATAAGATTATGAATGATCCGAATTTGGCCTCCACTTTCCTTTCTGACCCCATACCCTTTGACTCCCATGTCAGTCAATAATCTGTCTAAATCGATACCGAAAGAACTGCAGATACTGTAAATCAGGAACAAAAACAAAGTTGCTGGAAAAGCTCAGCAGGTCTGGCAGCATCTGTGGAGGAGAAAACAGAGTTAACGTTTCGGGTCCAGTGACCCTTCCTCAGAACTGAATCTTTCCGTTAACCCTGTATTCTGCTTTCAAATTTGTCCTTCCAGAATGAATCACCTCACATTTTTCAGGGTTAAACTCTATCTGCCACTTCTCAGCCCAGCTCTGCATCCTATCAATGTCCCTTTGTAACCTAGAACAGCCCTCCGCACTATCCACAACTTGACCCCACCTTCGTATCATCTGCGAACTTACTAATCCTCCCTTCCACTCCTTCATCCAAATCATTTACAAAAATCATAAATAGAACAAATTCAACTCATCTAAATTAAAATAAATAATGAGTGGTAAAAACAAAAGCAAATTGAATGAATGATCTCTTCATCAAACCTTGCATTTCCAGATACTGGACAGTTTCCCTGACTCCCATTGATTCCAGTTTTACTTGGACTCCTTGATGCTACATTTGGTCAAGTGCTGTCATTCTCACCTCACTTTTGGAATTCAATGCTTTTGTTCATGTGTGGACCAAATTTATCATGTGTTCAGGAGCATTAGTCAACTAACTTTACAAGTGCTGCTTGATAGCAGTGTTAATGATCAAGAGTAGATAGGCTGGTATTTGGCTAGTTTGGGTTTGTCCTGTTTTTTGTGTATAACACCTGCCTGGCCAATTTTCCACATTGTGAACATGCAAGTGTTATATCTGTGTTGGAAGAGGTTGCGTAGGGCACAAGTCTTCACACTGTTGCTGGAATGTTGTCAGTGCCAATAACCTTTGCAGAATCCAGTGTCTTTAGATTTTTTTGGATCATGAAATGATTCAAACTGGTTGAAGACTGGCATCTGTAATTTTGAGTACCTCTGGACGAGACCAAGATGAGTCATCCACTTGCATTTTGGTGATGGTTGTTGAAACTTCTTCAGCCTTGATTTATGAACTGTGCTGGATTTTCCTGTTATTGAGGATAGGGTATATGTGGTGGGTTACTCCTATGGATACTGTCATAGACAAATGCATCTGCACCAGGCAGATTGGCGGGGATGAGATCAATTATGTTTTTCCTGCTTGTAGGTTCCCTCACCACCACCTGCGGATCCAGTCTAGCAGCACTGTCCTTTGGGACTTGACCAGCTCGATCAGTAATGGTGTTGCTGAGCAACGCTTAGTGATGGACATTGAGCACCCAGAGTACATTGTGCCCTTGCCACCTTTAGTGCTTCCTCCAAATGATGTCAACATGGAGAAGAATTGATTCATCCACCAAAGATATGTGGTAGTCAGCAGGATGTATCCTTGTCCGTGTTTGACCTGATGCCTTGAGATTTCATCGTGTCAGGAATCAATATTGAGGACTCCTAGGGCAACTCCCTCCCAACTGTACATCAATGGGCCACCACTTGTGTGCATCTGTCCTGCCAGTGCAACAGAACACATCCAGGAATAGTGATGATGGTATCTAGAACATGGTATGGTTTGTTTCATTGTGTATGAGTATGCCTTGATCAGGCTGTTGCTTGACTAGTTTGTGAGACAGCTCCTCCAATTTGGGCTCAGAAGGAGACCTTTGCAGGATTAATAGGACCAGGTTTGCTGACGTTGTTTCCAATGCCTAGATCATTGTCCGGTGGTCATCCAACGTCATTCTTTAGACTTTTCAGCAGTTTTGATATAATGGAGTGCCCCTCTAGGCCATTTCGAAGAGCAGTGAATAGTTACCACATTGCTGTGAGTCTAGAGTCAGATGTAGACCAGACTGAGTAAGGAAGGCAGATTTCCTTCCCTAAACCACGTTGGTGAACCATAAGGGTTTTTATGACACTTGACAATGTGTAACAATGGTTGCCATTAGAGTAGATTTTTAATTCCAGATTTTCTATTCAATTCCAATTTCACCATCTGCCACTAGTGGGATTTGAACTCATTTCCATTCTCAAATTCATGGGAACACCACTGTTATCTTAGGTCTCTCGATTCCCCTACCCTAGCCCATCCCTTGACTGTAGGATAAATTGATTGATCAGGATAGTGGAGAAAGCACACCAGCTGTTCAAAGTAGTGTGAACGGATGTTTTTGTCTGCCTGAGCAGGCAAGTGGGGCCTCCGTTTTAAAGTCTCAGTGGAAAGATGCAATCTCTGACAGTGCAAAACTTCCTCACTACTTGGAGCAACAATTTTTTTTATGTTGTACGGATCTTGAGTCAAAGGCAAGTACATGACCAACCGAACCATAGCTAATACTCACCATGTGGGGTTAGATAATTTTAAAAAGCCATCCTTAATTTGCATGAAATGACTCACGTCTGGGGTAGGTCGGATTCGAACAAGACCTTCTGACCCAGAGATTGGGACATTACCACTGTACCGCAAAAGCCCTATCCACTGTACAGGGGTTGTGTGATTTTTTAGTGGAGAAATACTCTTGACATTTTAGAGGCTTTATTGACTGCCACATTGTTCTTCACTGGATATCGTTATTGCCTCATTCATCCTGCTATCTAATAGCTTGAAGAGGACAGTGCAGGTATATGTTCCTGTTAAATTGCACATGCAATGCAGTTTTTAACTCATGGATGGATCCTTATTGCTGATTTTTATATTGCTTTATCTGCATTTAAGTTGTTGAACTTGATTGATGTTTCCTCGAGCAACTAGTTGTTATTTCTAAGCAAAAAGTTTTGTTCATGAGCACTTTTCCTCTGACTTGCAGTGCGTGTTGTGCCTCTTGCTGCAGAGGCTCTGTAGCATCACCAGCCTGTCCTTCAGTTTACTTACTCTTGACTGATTCCACGTGCACTTGTTCCGCACTGGAAACCCGCTCCTCTACCACTCACACCCCGACCGCTGATATGGTGGCAGCAAAGTGCATCATCTACAAGATGCACTACAGTAATTCACCAACACTCTTCTGACAGCACCTTTCAGACCTGTGATCTCTTATCACTTAGAAGGACAAGGGCAGCAGATGTGTAGAAACACCACTAATATAGGGCCCATTCCATGGCACTCAGCCTCCTGACTTGGA